AACTTGTGAATTTTTCTTTTAGGACTAGGAGCACATTTTCAATATTTCCTAGAACATGCATACAGTATGTAAGACATAAAATTTTTGCTTGTGTTTATTGCAGCTCAACTTGAACAAGCAGCAGGAGGAGCAACAGGAGGATCCATTAGAGTACTATGACCGTCAAACGGCTCAGATTGAGGTAATAAAAAAATAATAATTTCTCTTTGTTTGTTGTAATCTATGCTGCTATAGTAATTTCTGCTCTGCTAATGTCTCCATGCAGAATATAAAATAAATGTTGTGGCTAATGTGATTAAAATTAATCTGAAATTTTGAGAAGTTGTGAAATAATTTCCATTGGCATGTCACATGCAGATTGTGCGGGAGGACCGTAGTATGGAGCAGATTGTGTTTCCTGTTCACCCCATCTGTGAGTTCCTTACGGAGGAGTCAAAGGTCCGTGTGTTTGCCACCACAGAGCAGGACGAGCAGGGCAGCAAGGTCACACACTTCTTCGAGCAGACCTCTTTCCTGCACAATGAAATGGAATGGCAGAAAAAACTTCGCAGTAAGTATTGTGCCTAGGGTGTTGTGGCTTAGTGAGTTCAAACTGCTATAAATATGTCCTTAAAACAGGCTTATTGTGATGTTTTAGGCATGCCTGTGCTGTACTGGTTCTCTCGTCGAATGTCTCTCTGGGGCACCATATCATTCAATCTGGCTGTGTTCGTCAATCTTATCATCGCTTTGTTCTACCCACATGACTCTGGTCATTCTGGTATGTTTATATGTGCATTATCTGTTGGTAACTTTAGTGAATTCATTGTATTATATTAATAAATGCTACATTTACCATCAGTTTCAAAGCACACAATTATGGACCAACAGTTGGCTTTCTAAATTGCTTTTCCATGTAGTTTTAACAGTTTCTTTTGCTTCCAGGTAGCATCGATGCTTCGTTGTTGCTTATGCTGTTCTGGTGTTTCGCTGGACTGGCTGTTTTGGGCCTGTTATCAAAGCGCTATGGGTTCCAGTCCCTCACTGTCGCCATCACCCTGCGCTGCATCTATCACTTCGGCATTGGGCCATCTCTCATCCTGCTAGGAGCTCTCAATGTAAGTCTTGCATACCATAATACTGTATGTTTGCTTAAATAAAAACGAATGGATTTAATTCAGAATTTCTCTTTTTAACCAGCTGATCAATAAGATAGTGTTTGTGGTGAGCTTTGTGGGGAACAACGGCACCTTCATCATGGGCTACAAAGCCATGGTGATGGATGTGGAGTTCCTGTATCACTTGGCCTATGTGCTAACCAGCACGCTGGGGCTTTTTGTCCACGAGCTCTTCTACAGCATATTGGTGGGTGTTAAAAATTTTATTTAATCACTCTTACACTACCTACCGATTAAACTTATTGTTTTGCTTTCATTTTAAAAAAGAAATTAATACTTTAATTCAGCAGGGTTGCATTAAAAGTGTTACATTGTTGCAAAACATTTCAAATAAATGCTGTTCTTTTGAAATTTCAATACATAAAATGTCCTGGGAAAAAATGCAGTTTACACTAAAATATTAAGCAAGTACAACTGTCATGATTTTACACCACATTCAACATTTTAATAATAAATAATTGAGTACAAAATCAACATATTAGTATAATTTCTGAAGGATCATGTGACACTGAAGACTGGTGTAATGACTTTAAATTCAGCTTTGGCATCACAGGAATAAATTAGAATTTAAAATATATTAAAATAGAAAAAAATGTAATAATATTTCACAATATTGTTATTTTTTACTGTGTTTTGATTAAATAAATCCAGCATTGGTGAGATTTCTTCCAATAACCTTTAAAAATTGACAGATCGACCCCAAGTTTTGTTTACTTTTTGCATTTCTGCAATGTTTTAATCCTTGGTATTGTAAATTTGCCACAAAACTTTTGCCAAGCACCAAATGCCATTAAAAGGATTTTTTGGTGAATAAATAAAACTGAGATACTGTACTCGCCAGTGAAAATATAATAGTTTTTAAACAAATTGAGAAACGGTGACGTGATTTTGTAGGACTGAAAGACATGCATATTCTGCTAATCATTTCTCACTTCTCTTTTACCCCCTTTAGCTGTTTGATCTGATCTACCGTGAGGAGACGCTCTTTAATGTCATCAAGAGTGTGACACGTAACGGCCGCTCTATTCTCCTCACCGCTGTCTTGGCCATCATCCTGGTCTACCTGTTCTCCATTGTGGGCTTTCTTTTCCTCAGGAATGACTTCATCATGGAAGTCGACCGGCTTGCTAGCGTAGATACAGGTAAATTGCATACACCTCTGTTTATCTTTCTTTCTTAGTTTTTTGGCAGAAAGCCATCAAATCCAGCGTTTATGATAAATTTGAATTACAGTATACCATTTATTATTCACTGATGCCAATTTGACCGGCTTAATGGCGTTTCTTGTCCTATAAGCAGGTACAGATAATTCTATGAGCAGCTGCAGTGCAGATGGAGTGGAGTGCACAGAGGAAACTGGGTTGGTTGCACCATCAGAGGGTGAGTTTAGCATTAAAAACAATGTTTAATATTATTGTATTGGAATCAGAACTCAGCTGTGAATGTTTTTTTTATGTCTTTGCAGAAGAAGAGGACAACACAGAGAGAGCATGTGACACTCTTCTAATGTGCATCGTTACGGTGCTGAATCATGGGCTGAGGAACGGAGGAGGTGTGGGAGATGTCCTGCGCAGACCCTCTAAAAATGTATGGAGACCTACAGCCTGATAGAAATGTGCACATATATGAATACAAAACCTAACCAAACTATTACAATGTTGTTCAACTTACAGGAGCCTTTGTTCCCTGGTCGTGTGGTGTACGACCTTCTCTTCTACTTCATAGTCATCATCATTGTTCTCAACTTGATTTTTGGTGTGATTATTGACACCTTTGCTGACCTGCGTAGTGAAAAACAAAAGAAAGAGGAGATACTGAAGACCACCTGTTTCATTTGTGGTACAAAATCAGATTTGAATATCTTTTAAAATGTCAGTTTATTCCTGTGATGGCAAAGCTTAATATTCAGCGGCCATTACGCCAGTTTTATTATTATTATTATTATTATTATTATTATTATTATAAATGATTATTATTGTAAATGTTGAAAAAAGTTGTGCAGTTTATTTTTGTAGAAACTTTTTGTATTGATCTGTATTTGTATTTCAACAGGTCTTGAGAGGGACAAGTTTGATAATAAGACGGTGTCCTTTGAGGAACACATTAAATTTGAGCATAACATCTGGCACTACCTCTATTTCATTGTGCTGGTACGGGAGAAAAACAGGACCGATTACACTGGCCCAGAGAGCTACGTGGCCCTTATGATAAAGGTAAATAAAAAAAAAAAGGAAAATTCCAGTTGATTGGATACTGGTCACATTTTATGTATTGACAGCAATTACCAGCGTTATTTCAGTATTATTTATATACTGTTGTAGTATTTATTAATACTTTGAATTTAACCTTTTAGTTTAGTTCTAGTATCTTTAATTTATTTAATTAATTCTTGTTTCACCTTCCAATGGGTTTTTATTCTGTCTTGTTGTCACCTCTTGTTAGAATAAGAACCTGGATTGGTTCCCACGCATGCAGGCCATGTCTCTGGTTGTAACTGAGGGAGATGGAGAACAGAATGAGATGAGGAACCTGCAGGATCGTCTCACCTCTACCATGAAAGTGGTCACGCAACTCACAAGCCAGTTATCAGAGCTGAAAGAACAGGTACATTTATCAATGTAAACACTGTTTGTCCAGCATTAATAATGCTGGTATATTAAAATGAATTAATTTCTCAGATTTTATATTCTCAAGTATATAAAATCATGGTTGTGTATTTGTTCATTTAGATGACCGAGCAGAGGAAAAGAAGGCAGAGGATGGGTTTTGTGGATGTTCAGTCTGGCTCAAACCCTGGGATGCCTCCACCTCCTAGTGCTGCTGGAGGAAATCTTCAGGTCTTCAAGCCCTAATTTCTCCAAATAACCTTGCATTGACTTTGTAGAAGCAATAATGTAATCCTGTGATGCTGGTGTACTTTCCCGCTGTGGAAAAGTTGTGTTCAACGGATAGACGGATTGGATCTACACTCACAAAAGCACTACTGACTACATAGTCATTCTTTGAGTGGCCTTTGATTTCCTGCATGGTTTTAGTATTCACAAATTGTATATATTTATAGTATCATACATTTTTATTTCATTATACATTTTTTTAAAAGGCAGCTTTTGGTTAAGGTATTTGAAAGCTTGATGCCGTGGCTTGATATGATTTAGGAAACATGATGGGGAATATCATGACCAATCTTATGATGAACTAGGAAATGCTAATGTCACTATAGTTGAATCTGGGAAGTGTAAATGGCATAATGTATAGAAGTGTGTTTAAAGTTCATATAGCTTTAATTTAAAAGTCAAAGTGCCTAAAAATGACTCGTAACTTTAGAACATAACTTTTGCTCAGGAAAATAAAACGTTCCTTCTTTATCTTATCTATCATAAAAGAATGCAGTTTAAGGTGAGGACATGCTGATCTTGGTTTTAATAGACATAATGCATGCCTATCTATGTATGTGTCTATTGAATTATTTATTGTGCGACCAGGGCTAATACTGTTGATATCAAAGAAATAATCATCAATTTATTGCTATTTATTGCTGATATGTTGAAATGAAGAGCCTCACCAGCTTTGCACAAAATAAAACATTTGATTATTTGTCTTGTGTCAATATTATTTAACGCATTACTATGATTTTACTATAATGTTACACAAATCAATGGAAATTGTATTCAATTGAAATATAATCGCAATGACTTTTTATTTTAAAGTAAAATAAAATAAATGATATCTTCCAAATTAAAGAATAAACAGTCGCGTGAATAATAGTGCAGTTTTGTCAATTGATTTATCTTGTGTGAGATTACGTCCCGCAGTCACGCACACTTCACAGTTTTAGGGTGTGAGTGGAGTGACTGACGGGCTCAATTCCTCCGCTGTTCGTTTGAGTGTCGGGTGCCGTTCAGAAGTTCGTCCTCAGTGCAGGTCAACAGGTAGGTTAATGTTCTCATCATATTAACGGGATATTTAAATTTGAACAATGTGTATCACATACATTTACAACGAATAGGCTCTAGGCTAATCCAGGTAATACATCACTCTGGAAATGGGAATTGCAGTCATGTAAATTAGTACATTATTCCAACAGACAGAAGATCAGTCTCGGGAATAAGGATTAAGTCGTTTAAACGTCTTTCTTTTGTTTGATGAAAATATAAAAAGTGTTTCTTTTCTGATCCTTTGTTGATATGCTGATGATAAGTGATGTTGAATGTAATCAGACCACAGAAATAGTCAGAAAAACCACATCTTGCTGCCACAACTAGACCTCTGAAAGATATATGGGAGCAGTGTTAGGGAAAGTTACTTTTAAAAGTAATGCATTACAATATTGCGTTACTCCATAAAAAAGTAACTACGTTACTTAGTTACTTTTTATGGAAAGTAATGCGTTACGTTACTTTTGCGCTACTTTTAAAATCTGGACAGGGCTTGCTTGTTTGTTTTTAAAATAAAAAAGTTCTATTTTTTGGCAAATATAAAAGCCTTTTCACACCAAAAGTGAAATGAAATTTACGTCTGTACAGTAGATTGCAGAAGAAGACATTTCAACACACTTCAGCAATAAAAAAAGACTCACGGATGTTTGTCTAGATTAATTTGTGCTTATTATTATTATGGTTGAACTGAAGGTCAGAAGCAAAGACATTGCTTAATAGAATGGGATTAAATACATAAAGGATATTTGTGTTGTTTAACATTTAATTATTGCATATTCTGAGTTGCATTATTTTTATTCATTTTGAGGAATACTGAATCTGTGTGTGTGTGAGTGAGATGAATTAATGCATATTCATATTTATTTTAGAACTACAGTAACATCTGATTTCTCTCAACATGGGGACAGGAGAGCTGTCAGTCAATAAATTGGAAAAAAAAGTAACTTGCGTTACTTATTTGAAAAAGTAACTCAGATATTCTCTTGTAAATTAAAAAGTAATGCGTTACTTTACTAGTTACTTGAAAAAAAGTAATCTGATTACGTAACTCACGTTACTTGTAATGAGTTACCCCCAACACTGTATGGGAGTGTGTGTGTGATTATTATAACCTATATTATAATATAATAAATTATTATATAACATAATATTATAATATATTTTATAATAAATGATAGTTTGTTGTTATAGACAATTAACAACTGTCATCTTTACTGTAGCCTAATATAAGTGGAATTATCTACTTTCAGTTTACACATTCGAAAATTCACAACGCAATGTTTTTGTTGGCCATTGTAATAATACTTCGTCTTATAGGGTTGATACTTTTCGGTAAGTATAATCTAGCCTTTATCAATTTATATGACGTCAGCTATTTAACTTTGAGAACGGAGTGCTGAGGAAAGCACGGGCCTGTGGGTTCCAGATAAAGCGCTTTATCGGCCGCGCCTAGGAGCCCGGCGCGCCCTGAACCCCACTGCTCGTAATTTAGATCAGGGTCGCTTTAGAGGCTCTTTAAGGACTTAATTATTAGTATTACGTAACCTAATTATTATTTTAGCTGGGCATCTTTCTCATAAATATGCTTGACAATGTTGTTACATTATGAAATTTTTTTTTTTTCAGAGCTATAGCCTAAATTTGAAATGACCCCACTGACCATCTTTTCCATTGTTTACAGCTGTTAAAATCATGTCTGCTTTTCTGCATCACTGCCCATTCTTGAAGTCCACTCCAGGCCCTTCTCTAAGGAATATGGCAGCATACTTTGGCTTGGCTGACCAATGTCCGATCATTGTCCACCAGATCTCTGTAAAAGCCCAATCCTCTGAGGAAAAAGGTAATCCTGTTATTTTTTGCATTTTCTGTACTATGCAACTGTAAGGTACCAGCAGGTACAATATGACTAAAAAAATCCATATTTGTGTAATTAAAATGAGTCAGTAGTCAGTATCTCAGATTCTCTTCATATATTGATTATATTCATGTTCTTATTGTGTTCAGGCCTTCTCCTTCATAAGGAGCCAAAGCGACAGTTGGCGACCACAGCCACTCAGGTGGCAATCTCCATGTCCCAGAGCTGTCCCTTCGTTTCCTCTAAGATCGGACTAGTTAAAGCCAGTCCACAAGTGCAGGAGGATGTCCAGCCCAATCTTGAGAATCAAGACACCTCTGGTAAAACAATCCCTCTCAGTGTGATAGATTCATGGACTATATAAACAGTGCTAACTGTAATGTTTATATGTTGCTTAAGAAGCAGATATCATCTAGCTGTCTCTTTTTTACCACCACAGTATAATTAGTTCACTGCTGAAGAGGCTCTTTTGTCTGCGAATGGGTTGGATGCATTTGACATAATAACGCACAGCTCGGAGAACATTCTCCTCTCTACAATTTGCACCATTTAACTCCAATTTGAGAGACTCCTCAGCTGTGAATAGTAAGCAGATGATGACTCAGATTGCTGATGTAACAAAAGCTAGTCTTCAGACAATCACATTACAGATGAAACTTCACACAGCCTCATGTGTACTAGAAAACAACATCTAACTGGAAAATTGTAGTTTTTGGTTTTTGTAGCTATCATGGTTTGGCAGTTAATGTGCGTAGCCTGTAATTTAAAGAAAATATAAGACTTCAACGATGGCATTAAATACAAAACACTTTGATTTTCACTCTGTTTTAACATTGAAAGTGAATTTAGTGCGAAAACAGAGCAATAAATACTGAATTTTGTGTTTGTTTGATGAATTTCTGACACATCGATGCCCTTTTTCTTCAGGCTTGATGAGCTCGCTGTTCAGTGGATTGCAAAGTCATCAGTCTACTGGTCCTACACACCTTCTTCAGGACAACTTTAGTGAGTTTGACTGCATTTTTCTTAATGATTTACGGTAAAATACTACCATACACTCTCAGAAAATACCAAATATCAATCTATTTTTTTTTACTTATTTGATTGGACTGCCAAAAGGTACAACTTTTTCTTTTTCTTTTAAATATCTGTGTGAACTAATGGAATAATGGAATAGTAATATGACATAATGAGGAATAATGCATGTTAAGTAAATTATCGAATCTATCCATGTTTTGGAAATGTAGTATACTCTGCAACACTTATTAAGTCTTTTTTCCTCACTTACTGCCTGGTGATTGCCCGTCTGCTTTTTAAATAATTCAGCCAGACCCAGTTTCAACTACGATGACTTCTTCACTCAGAAGATTGTGGAAAAGAAGAATGACCACACCTACCGTATCTTTAAGACGGTGAACCGTTTTGCAGAGGTTTTCCCTTTTGCTGAGGACTATTCCATCCCTGGACGCTTGGGCTCCCAGGTGTCTGTATGGTGCAGTAATGATTACTTGGGCATGAGTCGACATCCCCGCGTTGTCAAGGCCATAGGGTCAGTAGTACATAAAACAGACAATGAAATAAATGTTTGCCATCATATGTTATTATACATAGAGAAGAACAAATGAAGGTGCAGCAAAATGCACTAACTTATAAGTATTGTTAAATACTGTATGTGTATTTCACAATATGATAAAACTGTATACTTTGAAGTTTCTTATTGTTTGCTTTTGGATATACATAGTAATCACAACCTTTTGACATTTCTTAGAGAGTCTTTGCAGAAGCATGGTGCAGGAGCAGGTGGCACCCGAAATATCTCTGGGACGAGTAACTATCACGTGGCCCTGGAGAGTGAACTGGCCCGTCTACACCAGAAAGATGGAGCACTAGTCTTTTCTTCCTGCTTTGTAGCCAATGATTCCACCCTCTTTACTTTGGCTAAAATGCTCCCAGGTATCCAACAAAACAAAATGAACTGCCTGTGCTTAATGAATGTGTGAATTAATGAATTAATTTATGTTTTATATTGACTATACTGCCATTAAATAAAAAGAAAAGTTGAAAAAAAAAATGTTTCTATATACGCAACCGTTCAAAAGTCTGGGGTCAGTATGATTTTTTTCTTTAAAAAATCATTTGATCAAAAATACAGTATTAATACAGTGAAATAGAGTTTTATAATTTAATATATTTTAATATGTCATTTATTTCTGTGATGGCAAAGCTGAATTTTTTAGCAGCCATTACTCCAGTCTTAGGTGCCACATGATCCTTCAAAAATCATTCTAATATGCTGATTTGCTGCTCAAAAACATTTATTATCATTATCTGTAATGAACAGTTGTACTGCTTAATATTTTTGTTGAAACCGCCTTACATTTTTTTCAGGATTCTTTGAAAACTTTGTTTATTTGAGATTTGTCTCAAAATGTCTGTCACTTTTGACCAATTTAATGCATCCTTGCTTAAAAAAAAAAAAAAATCTCACTGACCCCAAATGTCTTTTCTGAAATTCCTCTAAAACATCTTCTCTCTGCAAAGGTTGTGAGATCTACTCAGACATGGGTAATCATGCCTCCATGATCCAGGGCATCAGGAACAGTGGGGCCAAACGCTTCATTTTCCGACACAATGATGCCAGTCATCTGGAAGAGCTGCTCAGCCGCTCAGATCCACTCTCACCTAAAATTGTGGCTGTTGAGACTGTTCATTCAATGGATGGTAAGTAGAAGAAGCTATCACGTAACTGACTCAAAAGAGTTTGTTTCTTAGTATTGTAAAATAGAGCTTGGCACTAGCAACACCATGGTCATGGGTTTGATTCCTAGGGAATACATGAACTGATAATGTATAATACTTAAATACAGTCACTTTAAATGAAACCATGTGTCAAATGCATACATGCAAAATGAAGCACCTACTAAATAAATAGTACTAAATAAAAAGTCACATCAATAGCCAAATATATGCTTTTGTATTTTACGTGGAGTGGGTTGCCTCAATAGGATTCATTAATCCTACTTGTTTTATCTTGGCAACCACTCTTTTATCAGACACTTTGGCTTGTGGAATAAATTAATCATTGTCAACTGATAATAGTGCATTTCTACACTTGAAAAATAACTCAATTTGTTTCAGGTGCAATTTGCCCTCTAGAAGATCTATGTGACGTAGCACATAAATATGGAGCTCTGACTTTTGTGGATGAGGTCCATGCTGTCGGACTGTATGGGGCTCATGGAGCAGGTGTAGGAGAGAGAGACAACGTCATGCACAAGATCGATATTGTCTCTGGAACTCTGGGTAAGACAGATACAGTCAAGTGCGTGATTCTGTTCAGTACTAGTTAGTGTAAGTTCACCTGTGTTCTTGCCTCTCAATTTTGCTGATATTGTTTGAAATATCTGTAGGTAAGGCATTTGGCTGTGTGGGTGGTTACATAGCCAGCACTGCTGCCCTGGTGGACACTGTGCGCTCCTACGCCGCCGGTTTTATCTTCACTACCTCCTTGCCTCCCATGATGCTGGCGGGGGCTCTGGAATCGGTGCGTGTGCTGAAGAGCCCAGAAGGCCAAGCTTTGCGCAGAGCCCATCAGAGAAACGTCAAACACATGAGACAGCTGCTGCTGGATGCTGGACTGCCTGTGGTCAACTGCCCCAGCCACATCATTCCCATACGGGTCAGTGTTTGCAAAAACCATTATGTCCTTAATGGGATAGTTCACCCAAAAAGAAATGAATTCTGTCATCATTTACTCGCCTTCATGTCATTCCAAACCCATGAGAGTTTGGTTAATCTTCAAAATACAAATTAAGGTATTTTTAATCAAACTTTTTTTGTCCTTCTATTGATCCAAAAAGGTCATAAAGACATTGCAAGAATTGAGTGGTTTAATCCAAGTCTTGTGAAGAGATAAGATTGCTTTATATAATGAACAGATTTAATTTAAGCTTTTATTTATCTAAACAATGATTGACCCACATACATAGAGCAATGAGGTTCATTCTAGCGTGCGCTGTTGTGTTTACCATATGTGTTGCGCACTATGGATATGTAGCAAGCAATCGTATCTCTTCACAAGAATTGGGTTGAACTGCTTGATTCATATGGATTCGTTTTATAATGCATTTATGACCTTTTTGGATCTTCTAAGTTTTGGTTACCTGGACTTTCAGTGTAACCTTAATCAGATTAACCTTAATCTGTGTTTCGAAGATTAACCAAAGTCTTATGGATTTCTAGCGACTTGAGGGTGAATAAATGGTGATGATTTTCATTTTTGGGCGAACTATTCACTCTAGTTATTAAATATTAAAACACATTGGATGAAATCCTTTGTCTGCACAGGTATAAATATTTGCACCGTAAATCTGATATTTCAGGTTGGAAATGCAGCAAAAAACTCTCTGGTGTGTGATATTCTGTTGGAGAAACACAACATCTATGTGCAGGCCATAAATTACCCTACAGTGCCTCGCGGAGAAGAGCTGTTGCGGTTGGCTCCTTCTCCTTTCCACAATCCAATTATGATGAACTACTTTGTAGGTGAGTGGTCATGCAAAGTAGGTAAACTCTATTTCTTTGCAGTTTAAAGGGGACCTATTATGCAAAATTCACTTTTGCATGGTGTTTGGACATAAATGCGTGTTGGCAGTATATGTACACAACCACCCTATAATGATAAAAATCCACCCACTCCTTTTTTTAAATCCCCATAAATCATAAGCAGTGTCTCCCAACTACCTGTTTTCCGACTTGGTGCTAATGTGAGGTCACATTAGCCACAGGCCCCGCCCACGAATGTTGACAGACACTGCCGTTTTAACATAGAACCCCCTTAAACAAGTTCACAGCGAGTTGAACAGTGTGTTTATTTGCAAATTCTAGCACCGGTATTGCTGGAGCTTGAGCTCTTGAAGCTCCGCCCTCTTCTCCGGGAGCACCAGCTCATTTGCATTTAAAGGGAAAGACAAAAACGGCACGTTTTGGCTCATACCCTAAAAGTGGCAGTTTTAACAAGCTATAAAAAAATGATCTGAGCTAAAACTTCACACACACTCTGGGGACATCAGAGACATATTTTACATCTTGTAAAAAGGGGCATAATAGGTCACCTTTAAAGGTTTCATTTCTGTACTGCTAGCGCCACTAAGCAGAATTGAAATGTCATTTTCTGCAATACTCTGACATCTGGCATTGCTGTATCCAGCTTTAAGAAAATGAGATCTGGTTACATTTTAAACTTGTAATGATTTGTATCTGAATTTTTAATCATATTTTATGTTGGACAGAGAAACTGTTGGATGTCTGGCAGGAGGTTGGACTGCCGCTGAATGGACCAGCTATGGCCTCCTGCACTTTCTGTGATCGGCCTCTTCATTTTGACCTCATGAGCGAATGGGAGAAGTCCTACTTTGGGAACATGGAACCGAGATACATCACTGTGGCAGCACAGTGAGTCAGTATCAGCAGACCAAGATGAAGATCTGTTTTATCAGATTAGATTGACTCTTCAAAAAATCCACTTCCAATCCAGAATTTTTTTTATGGTAAGATAAATGTAGAGAGTGCTCAAAATGTCCTTAATTTAAAACACTATTTGTGGCAATTTATGATAAAATAGTGTTTCTGTATTGTTTGCTGTGTTAATGATCCAAAGAGAATTTGTTTACACATATTCGTATAAATGTACCACTAAAATTAGTTATTGAGACTTTGGCTAAATCCTACATTAATTGTGTGTCCCCTCTGCATGACGACAAACCTGCACATGGGCACTTTTTGGTAGTTTTCTATTATTGGTATTGTATGTAGATGTATGCATGCTAGAGCATATTTAATAACACTATACCACATGCCCTCTTTCTGTTTTGGACCATTTGCACTCAAATTGATGAATTTAAAAATTCAATAAATATGGTAAGTTCCAACAAAATGCTTCTGATAACTCATTATAACCACTTGGTTATAAATACCAACAAATGAAAAAGTTATATTTGTACTCTTCTCTGATTTTTTTTAATTTAGGGGAAATTTTAATGCAAAGCACTATCAAACGATAGTCAAATGTGTCTTGGCACACGTATGTAAAATTGTCTTGGATGGAACCCTTTTTAATAAAAAAACCCACACTGCTACCTGGCGGACGGTAATGGAACTGTCACTTACTGAGCTTTGAGATCTCATAATTTTGAATACCACTATACAACCAAATACTAACAACAACTTTGTACTAAGTTACTTAATCATATAGGTCATAAGTGCTTTTAAACATGGTGTTAATAATATTAAATGATTGTAGTAATGTATAGATACACAACAACTTTATGTGCCTTTTAACATTTTTATTGTTCAAGGCGTCGGTGATACAAAACCCATTTCTGTTTGCTCTTTAGTAGCTGGCCATGTTCTGTAAGAGATTAGGGGGGGGGGGGGGTCACAAGTTACTAGTTTCCATAGCGACAACACTGTCCAAAATACCATGAAGCTTAATTTGCATGTTATTACACCGTGTTTGCTAATATAAAACACTTACCTTGCTGATCCAGTCAGTGTAGGCGCTCACACGAGTAAAAACGGTGGGCTTCTTGTTATAATTGCAGCTCAGGCCTGAACCAAAGCTCACAATACCGTGGACCTCCCAAGCGCCGTCGCTACCAGCACAGTTCAGGGGGCCACCAGAGTCGCCCTGTGTTGAGTGACGGGGCAATGTTAATCTGTTGCTGTTGTTTCAGTTATGGTTTTTGACTTAAATATCCTTTAAATTTAGTAAATAATTCATTATATAGCCTAATATTCACTTTTAATTAATTAATTTATGTTTTTATATGACATCTAAGTTTAGTCAACTAAAGGCTGGAATACACTGCACAAACTTTCGCCAAGAATTAGGCCTACAGCCTGGACCATTCGATGCTAGCTGCGAAAGGCAGAGCCAGTCTGCAGATCTGAGTTTACAGTGTACACAAACTAATTTTCAAACTATGATTCCATACAGTTGGATGATATAATTTTCTTTAATGAAAAATGATTTAAAATGATATCAAAACTACTTTATTCTGATGTTGTTGTGTGAGTTTGTTGCGTTTGGATGATTTCCGTTTTTTCTCTGTAACCATAGTCGGCAAATGATTTCTCGTCATTCACACAGAACGCAATTTTTTTTGTGTTTACATAGAAAAACAAAAGAAAAAGTAGCGCAGTGGAATTAAAAAAAACATGTTCTGTGTGAATGGCCCCTTATTGTAGGCTACACCATTTAAAGTTAATTGTAATCAAAGCTTACAAGTAATGAGTGATGAAAAATGAAAAGTCTATAAGTCATCAATATCTGCTTACATTACATCCAGCAACAACACCATCTCCACCAGCGCAGACCATGTTTTGTGTGACCTGAGAGCCCCACCAGTCAGACTTAGAGCAGGTGGCATAATCCACCACAGGCAGAAGAGCCTGCTGCAGGATATCAGCAAGGGGTCCATTGGCTATTGACAATAAAAAAAGGTATAGGTGAGAAGAAAAGAGGGAAAAAAGAGTTTAGCAGCACAATTTCATCCATAACCATCAACATTAGCCTACTTACTGTAGAGACGTCCCCAACCAGTGACATAGCAGGGAGCATTGTGGGGCAGAACATGGCCATCAGCAGGCAGACATGTAGGAGTGATAGTGTCATTTGGAGTGACAGGACTCTCCAGTTTGATCAGGGCGATATCATTACTGTGGACCAGACACAACATGAAAATTTGATTCATTACACAAGTGTTCAAGATATGCATCTCTGTTGCTTGTGAGGAGTCGTTTGGACTCCGTACCGAATAGTGAAGGAATTCCAGTCCTCGTGGACAATGATCTTTCCAGCGGCAATGGCCGCAGATACGTTCTCCTCCTCCTTCAGGTTATGTTTTCCCAGATACACCCTGTAAGTTCTGCTACTGCTGCAGGGCCACGAGAGGAAGACAAAGCATTTCAGAAAGACTCACAAATGCTGTCAAATGGTAAATAATAACGAAGTACTTTGATGTAGACCATGGTACTATGGTATACTAAAATGATACTTTTTTTTTCTAACTAGGCCTGTGATTAAGATCCTCAGCCTATTCCTCAGACTAACCTGATGCAGTGAGCAGCAGTCAAAACCCACTGATCGGAAATAAGGCTTCCACCGCAAGTGTGGTACCAGCTGCTGCCACTACTGTACTGGAGGGAGATCTAGGTGAAGAACAGAACAGGGGTCAGTTGTCTTCCTTATGTCCTTTTTGTTTATAAGTCAGCAAATATCAATTAATTTTTGTAGCAAATAAAAGGCCCAAAATAATAGACAATGTACAACTGATATTTATATGTATTTTATGTAAGTAGTCTGTTATTACTGTTATAATTATATAATTATATCGAATTATTATAATACTGTCATAAAGATCTCATTGATTTCTCAAGATTTTTTATGTTCATGTCTCAGGCTTCACAGGGTTAACATAGCTTATTCTACACAAAAGTAAAATGTTTTTGAACAAGGACAGAAATGAAGATTAACAGGACAGTATGTTTTCATAAAAAAAAAAGTCATTTAAATAATGGAATGTGCATGTACCTGCCAGGGCCAGCTGTGTGGACGGACATCCACACCCCCCACAACCCTCGTTATAATAGGAGGGTAGGTGGGCAGCCCACATCCATAAGCTGAGGTGAAACATAACACATTATAGTTGTTTTAATAGGAATAAATATTACTAGGCATTTTAAAAGTAATTTAATTGTTTAAAAATGCTAAATAAGATTGATGCTACTTCTCCTGCATGTCATTTTCAGACTTTAAAAAATAGTCTTTAAAGGCTTCTTACCTCCAACAAACAGAACAGCCAGGACCACAAACTTCATCATGCTTGTATCTTCAATGTTTGCCCTCTCTGCTGGGGTTTATATACTGGAGAATTCACTTTCAGTGTAATGTGTGACCACAGTAAGCAATCGTTTGGAATGAATGTCCTTGACTGCTTTAGGAAAAACAAATAAAATTACCCCCCCCTGCTTCTTTGGGTACACTTTGACTTTAATAATTCACTGGATATAATCTAATCATTTTATAGTAATTTTTTCCTGTTCTTTAAGATGTAGAACATTTGTTGTGTTCTCACATTTAATTTAATAATAAAAAAACACCTTTTATATAGTTTCTCCATTTTATTTGCACCAAATGTATACTTTGGATAAATGTATTCAAATGAAGACCATATTGAAAAGGCATGATATTATTTATATATAAAGAAGAAAACTTTTGTTTATAAAGTATATAAACAATGTTATATACACACAGTGTATATATATAGTCAAATTCATAATAGCTAATTTCCCCTTGCAAAACTCAGAACAGATGAAATGAAATTTATGGTTTTTAGCATAGCTTTGTGCAAGGTGTTATTGTGCAAGCATGTCATCTGTGCATTTCACAGGCTGCATTTAACACTCTGGTCAGTAATGTAACTCTGGTTATATATCTATTTGTTTATTTAGTACATTTATTTATTATTATTATTATTATTATTATTATTTAGTATTTATTTACTTTATTTAGTATTTATTAATTCAGTACAAAGGTTCTGAGAATACTGTTGGTGGATTGCTACAAGAATTGTTGCCGGTTTGTAGTGCTGTCCAGGTTAGTTTTATAAATGGTGGGTCACTGAAATTCGGCATCATGAAACTTGTATTTTTGGCATTGCTTATTGCTGCAGTGTACCAGAAATGGGACCACTGGCTAGTCAATGATATTGGAAAAAGAAAAAATTCTAAGAAGAGTCTAAAAAAATAGTTGCCCTCTAAAAAACTTTATTCATAACCATCAGCATTACTTACTGTTCTGACGTCCCCAACCAGTGGCATAGCAGGGAGCATTGTGGGGCAGAGCATACCCATCCGGAGGAAGACACGCAGGACTGATAGTGTCACTTAGGGTAACTGGAGCCTGCAGTTTGATCAGGGCAATGTCATTAAAAAATTAGGACATTCACTGCACAAATGTTCAAGACATGGGTTTTCATCCCACAAGACTATTCATCCCATGCACTTTTCATAATTCAAATATATATTTACGTTGTGTATTTAATTGGACTACTGTGTATGTGTAAGTTCAGATGTTCAATAAAGTGGTCAAAGATTGGGAGATTGAAGATGTACACAAAATTGTTGTACACATAGAAGATGTACACACAATTGTTTCCAGCAATAAAAAACATGAACGTGGACTGTCATTGTCATGTTGTGCCTTCTCCATTACACATACACATTAATTTGCGGCATGGCACGGCAACCTCATCATGGTTTCAAGAAAAAAAAAGAAAAAAAATACAAAGAGTACATTTCTAAGAACTTGACACATTCTACACTAGATTTAGTTACATTTAAAATCTATTTTGAAGAGATTTTTCCTTTTCTTAAACACTCTTATACTGACCTATATGCATTTTTATGATAGTTATGTGACTCTCCTTGTGGTTACCTTTAATAAAAAATATTAATCAGATTATATTGTCAGTCTTGAAGACTTCTTACCTCCAACAACCAGAACAGCCAAGAGCACAGACTTCATGTTTATATACAAGCAAGTTCACTCTCAATTTGTCTTTTGGAACGAATGATTGCTTTAGAGAAAAACTAGTCAGAAAAATTAGCTCTCTGGTGCACCTTGACCTTTATATTTCACAGGGTAGAATCTAATCAAAATATTTTTGCTGTTGATTAACAGGTTGAAGGTTTGTTCTTACATTTAGTTTGACTGTTGAATCATCTTTTTATATCGTTTTTCCCCTTTAATTTTCATGTATACTTGTGGTAAATAAGACATGACACTTTATATTTTTAGTTTTTGTCACAAATTCATATTAATACTTAAATCCTAAAACCTCACAACACCAAAAAACAAACAAAAAAAACATCAAATATGCACAGTTTGTGAAGCTCAAAAGCTATCTGGCTTTGCCAAAAGATTACTCTTCATATCAGCATGGCATCTGTGCATTTCACAGGCTGCACATATAAAAACTCTAAGATAACTGTTATTTTGGGATGTTTATCTTCAAGGCTAAATTATACTGCAAATGCTATCGGTGCTTTGCTACAGGAAATGTAACTGGTCTGTGTTGCTGTCCAGGTCCAGGTTAGTTATATAAATGTCGGATGTTTGCCTGTAACCACTGCAATCAGGCATCATGAAATTAGTGATCTTGGCTCTGTTCATTGCTGGCAATAAGATGAAAATTTGTCTACTTCAAACTCAAAAAAGAGTTCAACAATTCTCTTGTACTTTAGCTCCTAAGCAGTGGAACGAGCAGGGATATCTTTCACATTTCACATAGATATGCATTGCAGCAAATGAACCTGAGCAGACATGTAATTTATCATTGTGTGTGCATGTGTGCTGTCTTGAAACAGCCTACGGTTGTGGGCAGCCCACCTATAAACCTGTCGCCTCAAGGGTGGTGGGTGGAACTGATGTTAAACCAAACAGCTGGCCATGGCAGGTATTATGCATATTACACTGTAAAAAAAGATGATTATTATTTTTTTTAAGTTTATTGTAGCCTAGTATATTTTACAAGAAAATACTTCGTCATTCTACTAACAAATTGTTTAATTCAATGTGTTACTTGCAATTTTTGTAACTAATTGTGAAATTTACTAGCAATTTCTGAGTGAAAACTCTTTCTACACCATTTTTTCCTGTATACAGTTCATTAAAATTATCCTAAAATGCTCTGCCATAAATAATAATTGCACACACAGAAATAGGTAATGATAATTCTGAAATTATTTTGACTGTATTACTAAATGCACTGAAAGGAGCTTCAGTTCAACACTCTTTACCTTCTCAATTTTAGGTGTCTCTCCAGTACCAGAGTGGCTCCAGCTTTTACCACACTTGTGGTGGCACCCTGATCGACAAGCAGTGGGTTTTGACTGCTGCTCACTGCATTGGGTATGGTCAAAAGAATCAAAAGAATGCAATGAATGTTTCCATGAGTTGATCTGCATTATGAGATGGACTAAAACTGTGTCTTAAACTTCTGCCAAGCAGCAGCCGCACTTATAGAGTCTACCTGGGCAAGCACAACCTGGCACTCAGCAGTGAGTCCGGCTCTCTCGCCATCTCTCCTTCCAGGATCATAGTGCATGAGAACTGGGATTCCTACAATATCCGGTTGGTCCTCATAGAATTTTAATGTATGGGAACAAAAGTCTAATCTAAGAGTATGTTTTTGATGCATATGTGTGTTTTTCAGCAATGACATTGATGAATGATCAGCCCTGATCAAGTTGTCGACTCCAGTGACTTTCTCTGACAAGATTTCACCTGCTTGCCTGCCTAATTCCTAAAACTTCTCCTGTTACGTCACTGGCTGGGGACGCCACTGGAGTAGGTGCCTTTCCACTGCTATTTACTTATTTTCAAGCAAAAAAATAAATAAAAATCTCAAAGTAGTAACTTTTGTCTTTCTCTCTCCTCAGCCAATGGCCCCATTGCTGATATCTTGCAGCAGGCTTTGCTCCCTGTTGTGGACTACGCTACCTGCACTAGGTCTGACTGGTGGGGCAACCTTGTGACCAACCTCATGGTGTGCGCTGGTGGAGATGGAGTGGTGTACAGCTGCAATGTGGGTTTGATGCACACTTTTTATTATAAGTGTTTATATTTTGATATTACATTATCAATAACCAGTATTTGTGAAAATGCACACTATTAATGATATCTCACTCGTACAGGGTGATTCTGGTGGCCCTCTGAACTGCCAGAGAAGTGACGGCACCTGGGATGTTCACGGTATTGTGAGTTTTGGCTCCAGTTTGGGCTGCAATTACCCCAAGAAGCCCTCCGTCTTCACCCGTGTGTCTGGCTACATTTCCTGTTTCAACAATGTGAGTATAAGTTATAAACCGGTTGGCCTTTTTCTGAACACATGCCATCTTTTCACATTTCCTTTTGACATAAATTTAAGAACTTTAAACTGGCCTCTTCTTTTTCAGGTGATGACCTCTTATTAAAGTGTGGAAGTTGTGGTTATTTCAAAATCAACAACAACAAAATAAACGCGTAATCAAAAATCAACAGCTATTTTTGTCTGCACTTGGCCTAAAAGTAGTCGAAGAAGAAGAAGAAAAACATTAAAAAGCGTTATTTTCCCCTTCTTTTTGTTATGGTTGTGTTTGTATTACCATAGGCATAATCTAGATATTTCTACATTTATAGGCCTATCTATTTTAGATTATTAGTTGGATTGTAGTGTAGTGGATTGCAATGTCACATCTAGACGTGACAAACTTTAATATTTGCTAGGGAAAGCCTAGTATGAATGTCTAAAATAGTGTAATAAGATTTAAGTGTGCAGTAGCTAAGTGTCATTATACACTTACACATCACACATATTGTGTTTAAAACTGTTACCTCACACCACCAAAATACACTGGCTTTCGGACGACAGAAAATTACAGAAATTCCTCTCGAAAAAAGTCAATAATAAGCGCAGAAAAAAATAATAAGTGCAGAAAATGCATATTTTAAATTTGAAAAAAATTATTTCATTTATTTTGACATCCACGGCGGAAGATTGGCGTCTGTTCACCCCACTAATAGAGAACATTCAGATCAGTGGTTCACCCCAGACAGAACGGACTGCACGCTGGGTTGAAGGCGGTGCTCCACGGCACTTAATGTTACCATGACTCTCGTACACAACTTATTTAGACCGTAACATGCCTTTGAGCAGCCGGGCTGTACACAGTTTGGACAGATGAAAACTCATGCTGGTGAGTTGTCAAGATAATCAACGCAATCTATAAAAATGCTGGTGCCTATTATATTTCTTACAAATAACTTAAAGTTTGAAAAAAGACGCGAATATGGAGACATGAATACCAATTTAACAGACAGCGTCAGTGTACATACATTC